AGAGGGAGGCCGGGGCGGGAGGAGGAGCAGAGGGAGCCCGGGGCGGGAGGAGGAGCAGAGGGAGCCCGGGGCGGGAGGAGGAGCAGAGGGAGCCCGGGGCGGGAGGAGGAGCAGAGGGAGCCCGGGGCGGGAGGAGGAGCAGAGGGAGCCCGGGGCGGGAGGAGGAGGAGAAGAAGAGCAGGGGGAGCCTGAGGAGAAGAGGAGCAGGGGGAGGCTGGGGAGACGAGGAGCAGGGGGAGGCTTTATGGAAATGAGCTGCCAGGGGGTACTCAAGTAAAAAAAGGTTGGGAACCACTGGGCTAGGTAAAAAGTTCAAAACTTATAACAAAGAGCCACGCTGGAGAACCAGAGTGGACTTATACATGTCATTTTATTTTTCAGAGCTAAAAAACATATTTCCTATACGTCGGGAATAAGTCAATCTAAAATTACAATCTCGGAAAGTGGCTTCTCACTTTTGAGGCACTCCCTTCCAGTGATTATCTGTACACAGGCACACATACATGATTTATACCTATTTTTGCTGCACTAATGCACAACTCTATACATGCAACATCAAAACAATGTTTCTATAGGAATTATCCAAAACGTGTCTGATCAAAAGGGTAGTTGCAGATCTTTAGTATGCATCCATTATTATACTAGATGTAAACGGCGAAACATTACATCCAAATTAGATTTTCTGCAACTTTAAAAGCTGTGAGTAAACCACAGGTGTAAAGCAACATGTTTTCCTGTTAGTGCAGTATGGTACACATCCTGCGTGCTGCCGTTAGAGGTTATTCTCATAACCGCCACACCACATCCTGGCATGAAGAGTCACATAGTTAAATTTCACGCAAATGTCTTGTGAAAAACAAAAAAACAAAAAGGAATATACAACTAAATACAATAAAAAGTACATCCTCATCGGTTGAAAAAAAAATAAATTAATAAAAACACCTCACCATACCATAAAATTGTTTCTATATTTTTCACTTCTTCTCTATTATTCAATACCTTAGCAGTCACTCGAATATATTACATTCACAAAGCATGTGTATTCTACAAAGTGATGATACACAGACTTTTCCACTGCCACATCTGCCATTTATCATGAGCCTTCACTATTGCTGGCTGATGAGGACAGGTATCCAGCAGGATCCTCTATAGACACCCAGTGCCTACTCTCCTGCATATACAATACTAAACTTATGATGCAACTCTGACAGATGAAGCTGTCAGGAGAAATGTCCAAAAGGAAGAGAAATCCAGGTAAATATCTACCACTCATCTTCCCCCAGCCATCCTAATGAAAGCAGAAAGCTCAGCAAAACTTTTGAAACTATTTAACACACAAACATTTACATCAAGTAAAAGAATATACTCTGACAGGGCTCAACAAATCAGAAGTGCCAGGTCGCCGTAGCAACCAGAAAATGTGTCCTGATGCCTGGGATGTGTGTGCCTGTTCAGGCCCTGATGTAACCGGCTGCCTGAGATAGGAGGCGGCAGTCGGCTCATGGAGGGAGGCAGACCATGGAGGGAGGCGGCTCATGGAAAGCTGAGGGGCGGCGCATGGAAAGCTGAGGGAGATGTGCAGGTGGGCTGATGACTGAGTGCAGCGGCGCAAGGGAGTGGTCAGCTCAATAATCTGCGGCCTCATGGAAAGCTGAGGGGCGGCGCATGGAAAGCTGAGGGAGATGTGCAGGTGGGCTGATGACTGAGTGCAGCGGCGCAAGGGAGTGGTCAGCTCAATAATCTGCTGCCGCATGGAAAGCTGAGGGGTGGCGCATGGAAAGCTGAGGGAGATGTGCAGGTGGGCTGATGACTGAGTGCAGCGGCGCAATGGAGTGGTCAGCTCATAATCTGCTGCCTCACGCACCCTCCAGTATTGTCGGGAGCCGGTTATGATGTCAGCCTAATCCGGAATCACTAAACAGTGCTCTAGGGAGCATAGCAGGGAGATGACTGCAGCCCCAAAGATAGGGAGGGTGGGTGGATTTGAAATAAAATTAAAAAGTAATAATTTGTGAGTGTCTGTGTCAGTGAGTGTGTGTGTGCGTCAGTGTTTCAGTTTGTTTGTATGTATGTTTAGGTGACCTGCACCCCTCCAATCACATAGGAAACGTGTTTTTACTCACCTTTTTCCCACGCTGTGCTGGTGGCCTCACGTCCTCTAATCTAGACAGACAATCTCAGCTAACCCACTGCTTACCCATAGAAAAGAAGTGGGGGACTATTGCACATGCGCTGCAAAACGTCACACTGCATCACTTAACGTCTCCTTGTCAATACATTCCTATGGGGAGCATTAACTAGGTTGCTGCACAGTGTGCAGCACTGACCCAGGAAGCACCTCAAGAGGCCACCTGAGTGACTGTCACTAGAGGTGTTACTAGGCAGCAATGTAAACACTGCCTTTTGTCATAAAAGTCAGTTTTTACTTTGAAAAGCATGCAGGGATCTGGTATAGACTACAGAACAACTACATTAAACTGTAGTGGTTCTGGTACCTATAGTGTCCCTTTAAGAATTATAATTTTGACATTGAAAAATCTGTCTCCTAACTTTTTAGCTGGCTCCTAGATTCAAATTTGTCAAGCCCTGTACTATGATATG